CCCTCGCGCACCGCACTGATGCCGGAGCCGGAAGATGACGCCATCTTCCGGCGCCGGCATCCCTACGCGGCGCGCGAGGGAGCTGAAGAGGAAGCAGTGAGTGCTCCCTCGCGCGCCCGCCTTCCTGCCCGACCGGCCACCCGCCCAGGAGCCCAGCAGCACCACTGGACCCCAGGGAATCCCCCAGCACTCCAAAAGGTAAGGAGGCTGGGGGGATTACATTTTTTTTAAAAAAATGTGTGTTAGTGTATGTGTTTGTGTGTTAGTGTGTGTGTGTCAGTATATATGTGTGTATATATCTGTGTGTGTCAGTATGTATGTCTGTCAGTGCGTCAGTATGTCTGTTAGTGCATGTGTATGCATGTGTCAGTATATCTGTCTGTGTGCCAGTATGTCTGTGTGTGTGTGTGTCAGTATATCAGTCTGTGTGTGTCAGTGTACGTGCCTGTGTGTGTGTGTGTCAGTATTTCTCAGTGTATGTGGGTGTCAGTATATCTGTCAGTGTGTGGGTGTCAGTATTTCTGTCAGTGTATGTGTGTCAGTATGTTGATGTGTGTGTGTGTCAGTATGTCGGTATATGTGTCTGTGTGTCAGTATGTCTGTATATGTGCCTGTGTCAGTATGTCTGTCAGTGCGTCTACCAGTGTATGTGTCTGTGTGTGTGTCAATATATGTACCTGTGTCAGTGTGTCTGTCAGTGTATGTGCCTGTTTATCTGTATGTAGTCAGTGTATGTATCTGTGTATCTGCTTATGCGTCAGAGTGTGTACCTGTGCATCTGAGCCGCAACTTTAAATACAAATACACCCCTCCATTCAAACTTCAACACTACATATAAAACACACTCCTGCATTGAAACGTCAACACTACATACAAGCACACTCCTACATTCAAAAACAAACACTACACATAAATGCACACTTGCATTCAAACTCCAGTACCACATACAAACACATTCACACAAACATACTCCATACAAACACATGCTTACATTCAAACATACTAACATGGCTCAGTGCTAAATACAACCCTGCAAGCATGGGAAATTGGTAGAGTCCCAGCTGTCAAAGCATTGTTGGAGTTGCACGACAGATGGGGTTCTACCTTTAGTCCAACCTTGCAATTGGGGGTCCCAATAAAATTCATTCTACTTTAGTACCGCCACTGCGTTGGGATGGATGCCGTGATTGCATACCAGGGAGTGAGGGGCAAGAGCGGCAGGGCACAGGGGGCCCAAGCAAACACTTGCCCAGGGTCCATTCGTTATTAAAGACGGCCCTGTGTGTGTCTCTTTGTCCCCCAGCTCCTTTGTGTGTCTCTTTCTGCCCCATCCCTCTGTGTACCTCTATGCCCTTTACCGTCCTTCTGAGCACCCTTTTGCCCCTTAGTTCTCTGTGTGTGCCTCTCTACCTCTTCAGCTCTCTGTGTGTATCTTTGACCTGCCTTCTGAGTTTAGCACTACTGATCTAAGAAAAACCCAGAAAATAACAGCACCAATTGTCTGATTCACAGTTACAGGGGTGTAACAAGGTTAATTTATAAAAGTGTAAATTTCTATTGAAATCTGCACTTTTTTTGTAAAATGACAAAGTGGACACACTTCACACTTAAAGCATTTTAATATGATAAAGTGCTATAAGGTTCTTGAGTTTCCCTTTAACTATTATTCCTTTTGGTAAATAACATAACTGGGCCAGCTCCTTCACCCACCCCATATTTAAGGTTTAAGAATGCTTATGTAGGTAATGGACCCCTTGAAAGAGGAATAGAAAGCCAATTTATCTTTTCCTCCTAAATCTTTGTGTAGGACATCAGTAATGCATCAATTTGCCATGCGTTTTTTATAATTAATTTAATCATTTTATTATTTTCATCCGGTCCCTCATCTGACTTTTTTACTAGCTGTTTGTTCAAATGGGGACATTGAAGTTTATCAAGTATGTCAGTGAGTACACTGAGAGAGTAGGAGACACAGAGGCTGTGTATCAGTTCCCCTATTCCAATGCATTATGCAAACCTGCAGCTAAATTGCAAAGGGCCCAAAAATTTACAGTTTCATAGGACATGTTGTTGACATTTTGTTCTATGTCGCTTAACTCATTTATTGTTCATTTTTTTTCTTGATGTGATGGAAATTAGTAAAACAATTTTGTTTTATTCATTGTTAGTGCATGAAAAATGGACAAAACTTTTTTTACATTAATTAATAATTGTTCATTTAACAATGTCTAGAATTTGCAATTCAGGCCCTGAACGAGCCTACATTTGGTTTAGGTTTCAGCTATATTGAACACTGGAGAAAAATCTGGGGCCAATAATGCTAATTTGGCCCCAGAGGCTCCAAACTCAGGCTAAATTAAAATATAAAATCAGAACGATTTGTTGCCAGTGGGCAAATACTCAAATATCAGCGGTGCATGAGTTAATCATGATGTGGCGGGACATTTAAAAAAAACAAACACTTTTTAATGTGGTGGCTGGCTAGAAAGAACTGTCCAACCGCCAAATAATTAACCTCTTGCGCTACCAAGGGATTTTTGACTATTTGCAAATAGCTCTTCAAATTATCCTTCACTCGCATGAATGCAAGGGAATGATACCTTGTGAACATGCATCCTGATGAATGCTTTTTGGACCCCCACACTCAGGGTCCCCCTCCGTTGGTGCTGAAAGGGTTAAAACCCCTTCAACAGCTTACATTAATCCAGCGCAGGGCTCCCTTAGCGCTGGTGACCTCTTCTGCCCGCCGACGTCAGCTCCCGAGTGGAGCGGAATGCGCATGCACGGCAAGTGCCGCGCACATTCAAACTGTCCATAGGTAAGCATTTATCAATGCTTTCCTATGGACGTTCTGCACGCTGAATGCGATTTTCGCGTCCAGCGTCGCAGTAGCGCCTCTAGCGGCTGATGTGTACTGTGGTTTTGCTGCCGCCCAGGAGTAGTGGGAGTTTAGTGCAGGGCTTATTTTTGTGTATATGTATTTACGTTTGTATTACACAGCCATGTTACAATGCTGCCACCCAGCCCATGTGTTCCCTATTAAGGGTTATTAAGTGTGTGGTTTGGAAAAATACCCCTCTCTGTCTCATTAGAGATTTTGCCTTGTAGTTAGAGATGAGCGAACCCGAACTGGAAAGTTCGGGTTCGTACCGAACATTGCGGTTTTTGGACCCCAGACCCAAACACGGACATTTCAGTGTACGTTCGGGTTGGAGTTCGGTGTTTGGTGATTTAATGTCGCGTTTTGAAAGGCTGCAGGGCAGCCAATCAACAAGCGTTTGACACGTGTGCCCTTAAAAGCCATCACAGCCATGTCTACTAATGGAATGTTATATTTACATAATGACAGTATATTTATGTGATTGGCCAGTGCAGCATGTGACCCAGCCTCTATATATAAGCAGGAGTCACATAGCGCCGCACGTCACATGAGCTGTTATTAGTGTAGGGAGAGGATGGTGCAGCTGTGAGGGACAGATTAGGAAAGAATTCTGGTGTTGAATCTGCAAACTACAGTGAATATTTTTGTGGGTGCTATACTACATTTTTGTACCCGCCCTGAGCCCAGTGCCACAGAGAGTGCAGTGTACTTGCAACTGCATGTGTGCCAGACACTTTAATCCTGTTCTGGTTGCTCAGTGGGCAACATCTAGGCATTTTTAAATACTGCAATTCTTTGGTGCTAAATAGTAAATTTGTGTACTGCATTTCTTGCAGTCCAATAAAACCCTTAAATACTCCTGTTACATTGTTGGTTTAAAAAATCAAACTTTTTGGTGCTAAATAGTACATTTGCGGCCTGCGGTGCACTTCATATCTGAGAGTCAAATAGAACCATCAAATACTGTGGTTACAGCACAGTTTTAAAAAATTCAAATTTTTTTTGTGCTAAATAGTACATTTGGGGTGTGCACTTCATATCTGAGAGTCAAATAGAACCGTCAAATACTGTGGTTACATCGCAGTTTTAAAAATTCAATTTTCTGGGTGCTAAATACTACATTTGGGGTGTGCACTTCATATCTGGTGTATGTGTGCAACACTGGCTAGTTACCACTTCTCAAGAAAGTCTAAAGACAAATAAATGTTGCCTATGGTGCAGGTAATATAGAAGGCAAGACTGAGACAAATCATTCGGGTTACGTTTGCCTGTTGACATGTTAATTATCTTAGACCATTAAAATTCAATAATCAATGAAAAAACACACCAAGTGTCATACAAAAATATGTATTATAGACAAGTTAAAAACAAGACTACAAGTCATGCTGTAACAAAATTAAACAAGTTTTAAAATATGTATGGGCCAACCAGTGGCTGTAAACAACAAAGTTTTATTGGTTTCATTTATGACTACACACTCTAGTGAACAGGACCTTCATGTAGTGTGTTCTTTTTTTTAAAATCATACAGCATCCTTTCCTGTGCTTTTCATATGTCATATTGTTAATTACCAATTTTTGTTTAGCCTGATTTTTTAAAAAAAGTGAAACATAAGTGTTATTGTGATAGCTTCATATACAGAAGCATTAATATACATTTCTATATTATGTAAAGACACAACTACAAAGTTAAAAACCAAACACCAAAACAACGTGCCAGACAATCTATCTGTGCATGGCTAGTGTGATACAATAAGTCTACATCTTAAAAATGCAATAACCCACAGAAGATGGGCGAAAATTTTTTTTTTGCAAATGGGTGCAAAAGCAGAGCGTCTGTCCCCTAGCGCTCGTCGGCATGTATTAGCTCTAGAATTACCACAGTTATCCAAGTAACAGATGGAGCGATCAAAGGAACCATAACTGATTTAATGAGCCATTTGCAGTTTCACTGTAGCAGCTGTGTGCGCTTTCGGCATTCTCACCCTGCTGCTGCTCGCCTGTCTGTGCTGCAGCGTAACTTCAGCCTTTCCGCTCACCACCTCATATGTGACGTGCCCACAAGGTGGAACTCCACCTTGCACATGCTGGAGAGACTGTGCGAGCAGCAGCAGGCGATAGTGGAGCTTCAGCTGCAGCACGCACGGGTCAGTCGCTCTGCACCAGAGTTGCCCTCCAAATAGATCCTCGTTAAAGGATTTAAAGTGAACTCATTCCAATTACAGAGCCTTGAAAGAGTCCTGTATTGTTATTTTTCGTCACTACCTCCCCTCGTCGGGAGTGGGTAATTTGCGCGCCTGCTGCCTTCCTTGGATGTGGTAGCCGTTTCTCAGGCTCCCTCTCCGGAATCAAACTCTGATTCCCTATTACCCGTGGTCACCATGGTAGGCACAGAAAGTAACATCGAAAGTTGATAGGGCAGACATCCGAATGCATCATCACCGTCATGGGGCATGTGATTGGCCCGAGGTTATCTAGAGTCACCAAGGTGCCTGCGCAACGACTGTCGAGTTGCCCACATTCTAACTTGTGCTGATTACTGGGTGGCCACCCTGCTGGATTCCCGTTACAAGGACAACGTGCCATCCTTAATTCCCTCACTGGAGTGTGATCGGAAGTGATCTTTTTTATATGTCCCAATATTTTGGGGCTACCCCAATTAAAAAAACAAAAACAAATAAAAAACAGTGTTGACTACCTCCTCCTCCACCGCTTCCACCTACACCGCCACGGTCACCGTCTCCTTAACTTCTTACTCCACCTCCTCCTCCTAGAGCAGGGTGCAAAAGCGGAGCGGCCGTCCCCTAGACAGTATGTCTGTTATTGCCCACCGCACCCAGGGACCGAGCACACCAAAGCCAGCTCCAAGGAGTTCCCTGGCGTGGCAGTTCTTCAGACAATGTGCTGATGACAAGACACTAGTGGTTTGCACGCTGTGCTATCAGAGCCTGAAGCGAGGCATAAACATTCTAAACATGAGCACAACCTGCATGACCAGGCATCTACATGCAAATTATAAGCTGCAGTGGAGTAACTCGAACTTTTTGCCGATGTTGGGCCGAACCCGGCGAACCCGAACATCCAGGTGTCCGTTCATCTCTACTTGTAGTGCAAAGAAGCAAGTTGAATAGTTGATGTGGAACTCACCTAAAATGTTTTTATTTGACATGTCAGGTGAGCTTACACTTAATGGCTATTGGAGTGATACTAAAAAACCTCCAGTTATTTAAACGTGCATAGAGATTTTTTTTTAGTTAATATAAGAAATGCCAGTGTAGTTATAATTTGGCCATTTTAATTTTCGTTTTTAGTAAATAACTCTGCGTGTGTGTTTGCAACATGTAGAGATCCAGAGGAAAGATACTGATGCTGAGTGAATGCGAGGAATAAAAAGGGGGTCATAAGATGTATCCCCTCAAAGGGAAAGTCCAGGCGTCAATTTAGCCTGGGTGATCTCTCTTTGACACAAAGTTCAAGCAGGGAGACAATACTTTTTTATCAAGTCTTTATAAAAACAGGGGTGACAATATAGTGCAGACTCATGACACCACTGGCATACATCCCGTGGTCGCAGGGGTCGCAGCTGCGACCGGGCCTGGCCCACCTGGGGGCCCGACCGCCCTGCGACCCGAGTATGTACGACAGTTTGCCAGCCTCTTCTCCAGGAACTGGCCACCTCAGGGCCCCCCGAGGCAGGCAGTGGTGTCACCTGGCTGGTGGGCGTGCGAGGGAGCATTCTCCCCTTAGCTCTCTCTGCCCAGCAAACACGCACGCACCGCAGTGATGCCGGAGCCGGAATATGACATCACTCCGGTATCAGTAAGCGGCGCACGAGGGAGCTGAACAGGATGATCAGTGCTCCCCCGCGCCTGCAGGACCAGCCACCCAGCAGCCCCACTGGACCCTAGGGAAATCTGGAATCCCCTCAGCACTCCCAAAGGTGTGAGTGTGTATGTGTGTTAGTGTGTGTGTATTTTAGTTATTGTGTGTCAGTGTGTGTGTGTCTGTTACTGAGTGTGTTAGTTGTGTGTTAGTTTGTAACTGTTATTGAGTGTGTGTCTGCTAGTGAGTGTCAGTGAATGTGCTAGTTTTTTGTGTGTGTGTTACTGTGTGTGTTAGTTGTGTGTGTCTGTTATTGAGTGTGTGTCAGCTAGTGAGTGTCAGTGTGTGTGTGTGTTAGTTTGTGTGTCAGTGAGTGTGTTACTGTGTGTGTCTGTTACTGAGTGTATAAGTTTATGTGTGTCTGTTAGTGTGTGTCTGTTAGTGAGTCTGTTTGTTGTCTGTTAGTGAGTGTGTGTTTGTCAGTGAGAGTGTATGTTTTGTAAGTGAGTGTGTATGTGTGTCTGTCTGTCAGTGAGTGTGTATGTATGCCTGTCACTGAGTGTGTGTCTGTCAGTAAGTGTGTGTGTCAGTTCGCTAGTGTGTATGCATCTGTTTGTGAGAGTGTGTGTGTGCTTAAAACCCCTTCAACACTTACCTTTCTCCAGCCGGGGCTCCCTTGGCACTGGGGATCTCTCCACCCAAGCCGCCTCTCAGCTCCGAATATGCATGCGTGCACATTCAAATAGCCCATAGAAAGCATTACTCAGTGCTTTACTATGGACGTCCAGCATCTTCTCACTGTGATTTTCACAGTGAGAATCGCGGAAGCGCCTTTAGCGGCTGTCAGTGAGACAGCTACTAGAGGCTGGATTAACCCTCAGTGAAACATAGCAGGGTTAAAACTAGAGGGACCTGGCACCCAGACCACTTCATTGAGCTGAAGTGATCTGAGTGCCTATAGTGGTCCTTTACGTGTATGTGTATCTGCATGCCCTGGCATACATACCGCAGTCGCAGGGGTCGTAGCCCTGTGACCCCTTCGACCAGGTGCCCGCCACCATGTGTTACGACCCCGGCCCACACAGAGTAAGTGCCGGAGAGGGGGGTGGGCCACGGATCAATTTTCGCACCGGAGACCCATGGATCGTGTGTATGCCACTGCCTACCACCCATTTATATATGCGGTTCAGGTGGAGGGCAGATGATTTTAATGTTTCATTTTGCTTTTGAGCTATTCATCTTGGGTTGTTGTCAGACATTCAAAATGTATTTAACATTGTAAACCCAAGGTTCCTGATTTTCCAAAATTCTCCAAGCCAAGTATGTTTTCACTTTCGCTATTTTAATCTGAAATGTAAGATTTCCTATAAATTCTTGTTAATTCACACTTTATTAAATAACCTGATTTGTTCTTTTTTATGATATAAACATCTTGCAGTCTATATTTCACTGAGATGTTTTATTTATTTTCCAACATTTATTGATGTTTAATACAGGTTATAACAAAGAATAAGAATGGAACATGCCTAATCAACGCAACCTTGTGAGCAACACAATGCTTTTTATATTCATCTTTCTTCAAGGTAATATAAAATCAAACCATCTGAAGCCATGTAAGATTGGGGTTATGGGGGAGGAGAGGCACTTGTCTTTTTGTTTATATGCAATATAATAATTGTGATGACAGTTTTATGACATTTTCAGACATCAGTAATTCACAAGTTACAGTGTGTTAAGTTACAGACACATATTGAGTTTCATATGGGGAAAAAAAATTAATTAGCATAATAAATATGCAAAAATTAAGTCGTTGAGTTAAAAGAACACGTCAGGCTCCTTCCAAACTTCAATTGAAATATGATGTTATCATGCCAGGAGCTCCCTGGCTGCAATGTAACCTTAGGGGTTTAACCATTAGCGAATTACTTCTTACCTGGGAACCTTTGGGTGCAGTTTCCACCTCCACTACAGCTGGAAGCACTAGCAGTGCAGGGCTTAGCTTGTTAACTCAGAGTGATGAGCTAATGCTCTCAACCAATGAGCTAGCCCTGCAATGCAGAGTTTGGCTCAGGAGAGCTAATGGAAGCTTTTAAGCAGGAGGCTTGAGCTTTCCTGGCTGCAGAGGAGGCGAGGAATGACCGGAGATTCCAAAGAAGAAATCAAACTGTTCTAAAATGGTTTGACTGCTTACAATAAGGAAGCAACCTTCTGGTATCATAGCCACTGTAGTGTGCTGTAGTGTGCTGTAGTGTGCTGTAGTGTACTGTAGTGGTTATTGTGCTTGGAGATTTCCTTTAAGTACAAAACACTATAGAGGTTCCTCTTAGATCATCTGCTAGTTTTTTTAACAGCCATTCCATCCATTCCATTCCAGCAGACTTGGCTTGTTTGAGCATGCAGTAGGCCAGTATGGCGATTTCACAATGAGTAATGTAACTGTACTACGGCTGCTCAGGATAGAATAAAACAATCCTTTATTTCTAATCTTCACATTTTCTTATGAAATAGAAGCAGAAGATTGAGTGACAACTGTGGCAAAAAAAGGTTATTTTTTTTTTAAATCAAGAAAATACCCGCGTACTTATTAATATAGGTTCAATCTGTTCACCTGAAGAGCAAGTCTAAAGTCTTATTCATTTCACAAATGATCACTTTGTTCATCTTGAAAATAACTGACAAGTGAAGAAGGGATGAAAACCATTAGTTCTGTGGGAAATCTTTCAAAATACAGCATGTTTGAGGCCATTAGTATCCTACTACACTCATGCACACATATTCCCGATTCAATAATGAAAAGGACATTTCAATCATGAAGATATTTGGATGGACAAGATAAGATTACTTTTTCCACTTTAAAAATTGATAACGATTGTTTTGGGTGCTAGGTTCCCTTAAAGGTCACAGGAAAGTATATATTTGTGAATTTAATATATGAAATAATGAAAGTATGTTTTTTCATTTTAAAGGCTTGTACTCAATGACCGTCGGCCAGACATGGACTTTCCCCGATAAAATTGAGGCTTTAAAGGGCTCCTGCGTGGTGATTCCCTGCTCATTCACACGTACTAGGAGCTCTATGTCAGATGACGTTGTCTGGTATCTCTATAGCAGAACATATTACATAGAGGTTTTTAACAGCAGAGGGAATTCCGAAACTATAAGTGCATACAGAGGACGTACATCACTAGTGAGCGCAGAAACAATGAGCTGCTCTCTGAGAATAAATAATGTGAGAGGGGGAGATGACGCTTATTATTATCCAGGAATAGATACAAACTCAAATGCATATGAAAAATATGGAAACGCTGTCAGACTTGGATTAAGAGGTAAAAATCTCATCACATTTGATTTGTTTGCAGTTTGTTTATTTTGGTGTAATAATAGAAATTCACTTTCAATTCATTTGAATTTCCCACAATGTGCACCTTAGTGAATATCCTTAGTCTGTCTCTGTATTTAACATGTACTTTTTACTACCACAAGGATGTATATGTTAGTTATTTCCATTTGTTTTTTAAAACTAAATTTTTTCCATAAAGTCTTGCTTACCTATATTTCTATTCCAGGAATTTACCTTCTAGGAATCAATTCTATCTATGTAATAAATGAAATGTCCATAAAATGACAGCTTCCTCCCAGCCAAACAGTAATAGAAACGTTACAGGTCATACAATTCCTACAGTCATACAGTCAGGGAAGGTAGAGGAGTGACTCCTATCTCCCGTATAACTTGTATGTCTCTTAACATTAGGTCGGCAATACTGATATTACTATAAAACATTGTAAATGACTTTACTTTAGAAATACCTGTATAACTTGTTTAAATGGACACTGTGGCACTCTATATAATTTTATCTTGCTGAAATGTTTATGTGTGAAGAGTGTGTCCTCTTTTTTCATTTTGCAAAAAGTGCA